CATATATGTGACATACATTCTTCAAGAAGCAAAAATTACAAAACTGACAATCTTGCTTCTATTATCGCCATGAACATCTTTAGTAAAAACAGATTTGATGATGTATTCAAGCATATCAACTTGAAGTGTACTTCATTCCCCTTAAATCTATTCATGAGGAATACTAAGTTCTGAATTCGATGTTTGAAGTTAGCAATCAATTTGTTGCAAGCACTGAATCTAAGGTTAAATGTTGCTAACAACTACCTCAGAACCTGTATCAAACCATCCGAAAAATTATATATCACTCTCATTTCAAACCGCTATTACATAGTGTTCTATTGGAACTCTTTATCGCCAAGTTATCCTAAATTGAAAATTTTCAACCAATCTGTAAAGATGTGGATGTCAAATTTTTGATGTGTAAGTCCAGTTTACTACTGATCTCCAAAATATTATTATTATTATTCTGTTAGTCCCTTGGGTTTCTAGTAGGACATAGGGCTTCAGTAGCATGTCTCCAGTGAACTCTGTTCTCTGAAATCTTTTCAACCTGGTTCCACGACAGCCCACAACCTCTCATTTCCTCCTCGCACGATCTCCTCCATGTCACCCTCACCACCGACGTCCAACTCGTCCCTTCCCATGGGGATTCCACTCGAGTACCTGGCCTGATGCGTGATGTCCCAAGTCGGCCTTCTCAGTGCATGCCCAATCCATCTCCACTTCCAATGCATATTTGTTCAGCGATGGGTTCTTGGTTGATTCGTTCCCAGAGCTCCTTGTTGCTTATTCTTATTATTCTGGCAATCCATCTGATCTTCAGTAGCGAGCCAGCGAAGGTGGCAGTTGTTGATGAATGTCTGTAGTTTATTAGAAATCCCTTTCGTAACGCGCCGGCAAGTCTCTGAACCATACAGAAGCACTGATTTGACTGAATTGGTGTTGAAAATCCGTATCTTGTTCCACATGCTGAATGGACTGCAGATCTCCACACTGGTTTCAGGCTAATGAACACCTGTCTTGCTTTTTGGATCCCGGCTGACTTTGACGTCCTCGTCTGTGCCGCCTGTAAGTGAAACAGTGCTTCCTAGATAAGTGAAGGAGGTTACTTCCTTTAAGTTTCTCCCGCTGACGGTGATTGGAGTTTGTTGTTGTTGTTGGAGTTGTTGGTGGGGTATCTTCATCACCTCTGTCTTCTCTATATTCACCTGAAGTCCCGTCTTCGCTGCCTCTTCTGTCAACTTGTTAGTTTTCGCATGTAGATCTTCAAGTTTATGTGACATCAGGCACAAGTCATCGGCGAAATCCAGATCTACAAAATAAGTAGTGTAATACTTAATACTTTACTTCATTACTTACAAAATTTGATAACTTTCAGCAGGATTGATTATATCACTAAGTTAGAAGCTTTAAAACATGAAATTTGGATTAAATTACTGTTATAAAGCGAGTATCAATAGAATTAGCAGTATTACAGCAATAAAATTCCATCATCTGGTTCTACGAATTTATATGCCATCTGCTATTAAATGATTTCAATAAGGTAACAAATAACAAGATTTGTTGAGTAAGAAAAGTTCGTTTATTTATTTGTAGCATTTCTCCATCTGTAGGCAGCGTGAAACTTCAAAGAAACTTAAAACGTGTGCTCAATAACACAGTCGAAAGTAGACAAATACCCAAATGACATCAACAACTGTATACATTCATTCTCCTTTGCTGGTGGAAGCAAGTACATAGGAAAGAACTACTGAAAAGCCTGTACTCGATTTAATGAGCATATTTTGAGGAATCTGTGTCTAAAAGGTAGCAAGGTCTTTTCCGATGCAATTGCTAGTTACCGAAAAGGAACAGGACGTCAAATAGATGTTTCCCAATCCTCCAGGGTTATCAACAAATAAAGAACATCATGTTTGTTACGGTTTGTGGAAGCCCTCATCATTAGGCATTTTGAACTGTACCTGTACACTCAGAAAGAGACCACAACTAAATTTTCTGCATCCTGGTAGCTGTATACATTGTTTGCCTATGTATTCACATAGTCTGTTTTTTTATTGCATCATCTCATCACATATTACTTTTTGATTATTAACCACTCATCCCAAAGTCTTTAAAGTTTTTTCTGCACTTGCTTGACCCACTAATTCTTCAATAACCCTCTTTTTACTGCTCTCTGTTTGTTGTCCGACCCTCTTCGTAGCTTCATAGTGTTCTATCTCATTAGTTATGAACTCCCGTTGGTCCTCAGTAAGGTTTATGATTGTGAATCCTGTGTTTCTTCGACCCTGTCACTACCTTATTGCTGATACGGGATTTCGAATCTTCATATGCTTTTACCCATTTAAATTACGTTATGTCACTATTACTACTAATACTTTATCTCAGTTGTAGACTGCTAGCAGCTGATGAAAGGCTGTTAAATAAAGTAAACTCATTTTATTCTAGAAAAATTTTTTTCTTGTATTCTTCAACTATTTCATTTCAGTGAGTTTATCAAATATATCACAAAGAGAAACAGTATTGTTTACTGGGTTACGTTTAGAACTTGATTAACAATGGTCGTATCAAGGTGATATAATTAGTAACTATAAGTTGTGAAGCAATCCAATCCCATTATATATTATTTTAATTTGTTCCTTGGGTTCCTAGTGGAACATAACCGCTTCAGTAGCACGTCTCCATTACACTCCCTTCTCTGCACTCTTTTCAACCTCACTCCATGACAACCCACAAGCTCTCATTTATTCCTCACACCATCCCCTCCATAACACCCTCACCTCCAAAGCCCAACTCGTCGTTTCCCATCTGGGTTACACTCGACGGCCTGGTCTTGCCTGGCCTGAAGCGTGATGTCCCAGAATGGTCTTCTCAGTGCATGCCCAATCCAGTCCGTCTCTACTTCCTTCTGCATACTCATTGAGCGATAGGTTCATGGTTGGTTAGTTGTCAGCCAGCCAGAGTTCCTTGTTGCTTATTCTTATCATTCTGGCCATCCGATCTTCAGTAACGAGTCAGCGTAGACAGTTGTTGATGAATATGTGTAGTTTGTTGGAAGTGCTTTACGTGACGCGCCAAGTCTGAACCATCACATAGAAGGACTGACTTCATTGAATTGGTGTTGAAAATCTGGATATTGTTCACACTTTGTGCTGAGTGCAGTAGATCTCCACACTGGTTCCAGGTGAATGAACTCTAGTATCGTTTTCCCGATCCTTACTTTGACGTCATCGTCTATGCCGCCATATATATATATATATTATGATGCATGTCATGTAACTGTGGATAAATTTTGTTGGTAGTTTTGCATCTCAAAGTATGCATATTTTCGAGGACATAAATACAACTTATTCATAGTGAATTTCTGTGTTCGTCTAGACTTGAGTAGTAATTTCAGAAACCGAGTACTTGATCACAACTTGCTTCACGTTTTTATTGTTTTTAATAGTTTTTTTTTAAATATCCAACTGATACAAATCTACATTATTTTGACGTGACCTCCTCCATCATTATTACATCACATGATTCATTTAAGAGACCTTTGTATCAGTAGAGAACCATGATGATTTGATAATTGCAAGAAAGGTATTCATTAACTTCTTTCAACTTTTACGGTAGGGGCAAAAATTTACACTTAAGACGTTAAAAAGATGTCGGTTTGGGGAGCTAATGCCTAAATGAAGCCTAAATATAAGAACGAAGCTTACATAATTGTGGTAGTTACTTTGGTATTTAAGCATATGAAAATTTACAATAATAAAGAGTATTAATCTTCATAGTTGACATTAACCTCATCCATACATCGTTATCAGAGTTTAACAGAGTAAATTTTAATAGGAGTAGTTGAAAGGGCCATAAATGAGTTGAAACGGTCAAGTTTGATGTACCTGAAACTCATGATGTTATTCATTATGTAAGCCTGTCTAGTGTCATAGGGAAAAAGATGCTTGAAACATGCTTCTTCCACCTTATATAACTGTAGGTTTCAATGAGAGACTATGGTTTATTGTAAACCAAATGTTATTAGATGCAGAATATCTTGGGATTTTTGAATTCCTTTACTTACATTGTCACATGTTTCTACTTATTCAAAAGATGAAAGCAGCAAGCACCCAGATTTACTACGATAATTGTAGCATTTTTTTTGCATTTGAACTCCTAGAACATGATGTGCTAAAAGATTTTCCCTTGAAATTATGCCAACGGAAGTATATCGTGTACAAAATAATTACGATTGAAAAATGCCTAATAACTATTACCCTATAGTTGAGATAAAATATAATGATACTCGTTTTGGGGTGCCTACTTTGAATAATCAAGTAAACTGATTAACCGTCTTCTTTCAGATGCTCTTGATGTCATAAAGAACTGAATATCACTCAGGTTTTACAGTGATCAAGTGGTCTTATGATGTTCCTCAATTGGTGGATCACGGGAACTGATTGAATTCAGGGTACCGTTCACCAGTCGAAGAAATATTGTGAACCTTTAAACACTGGACAGCTGTTTAGTCCTAGTATGAAGCTCCTTAACAGTGCATATCCACGATCTAAGAAGGAACATAGGGGTGTATGACCATAAAGTCTCATGCTGAACACGTTACTAACCAGTCAGTTAGTTCAAATCCAATGGCTCACATACCCAACATACCTGACCAAACAGGTTATGACTTCGAATTAGTACTTCAGAAAGTCTATCTTGAACTAAATGACAAATCAGCAGTGAATAGCATTTTAATTGTTTCAAATGTACCACTGTAAAGTTCACCCACAAAAAGAATCGTAATGATTTCTTCAATCATTAGGGATCTATTTGCAGACAAATAAATTAAAACATAATGCTAGCGAATTTCCTAATCATAAAATAGGGTGCTGAATGCAATGAGTTCAGTGTGACTAATATTTTCTTAATTTATTGAAATGTTCACTGTACTATTTAGTAATATTTGTAAACCTTTTAAGTCATTAATTTACATTGAAATTTATTAGACTGACAAATTGCATTTTAAAAGTACTACTTACCGAAGTGTTAATAATTTGAATTGACAACAAACTGTTTGTTTAAAATAACAAATTGACGTTTAAACAATTCTGATGCAGCATAAATAAATGGGGATCCAATAACAATGATGAGTTGATTAAAGCGTTCCGTTTATAAAGAAATTCAAACCTAAATAGATTATTGTCTAATTTATGAAAAATCTGGACTCCTTTTTTCTTGATACGATATTTACTCTCAGTAAATTTCGTCTTTTAGATTTATTTCCTGCTTGTTATATAACTCTATTTTCTTGCTCCCCCTTCTTGTCTGTTATAGGAATACAATCGTGAACCAATAGTAACTAGTGATAAAATGTGTGGATTCACCAACCGAAATAAAAAACGCTTCATTCCAGATAGGTTTCCATTATAAACACATACGTACATAAATATCTATTGATTTTATGCCAAAAGGATACAATAAATGGTTATTTTAAATATATCGTTTTCTGTGTTTTCCAGTTTTTCGATTATTCCCACAGTTGATTACTTTTGATCTTGCTAAGTAAATATACAGACAACAAAATGCTTTAAATATATAAGGTAAACGTATGAGCAGTGAAATCTAATATCTACCACTCAAAAGCACAAGTAGCTTGCTAAGTCCACCTTTAATTTTCAGTGCATAACTAAATTTATTCACCAGTATTAAAAATTCAACATCTCAATACTGAGAAATTTTGAAACCAAGATTCCAGCTAAGTTGTATTTATACCTCGGAAATAATATAAGAGAATGAAATATACACGTTGATGCAAAACCTACATACTGAAGATCAACTCCTGACTAAAATCACACAATGGTCCATCTGTCAACATATAACGGCAAATCGAATTACTTAAATGGAGTTTCTCTGATATTTATCATATTTGCAGCATAATTTTATTAGCCCAGCAACCAAATTCTTGTGATTACTTATTACTTCGGAAGAGAGAATGTCATGGTCACAAAGGAATCCCTGTAACCTCTTCAAAAGCCTATGTTATATGACATAGCGGGGAAGAAGAAACTAATTAACTAGACCTAGGAATTTAAGTGAGAAACATACAAAGTAGTCTAATGAAGAATAATGCAGAAACCACTTTGTGCTTACAAATAACCCCTAATTGAAAACCCACAAAGGTGTAACAAACTTTAGACTACTGAATTCAATATTGCACTAACAAATAACAGTAGATCTTGGCCATAACAGGACCGAAGTCAGCAGACTTTCGATCATTCATCCGAAGTAAATCAGACTGAGGTCTGAAACTTGACCCCTTACTCAATTTCAGCGTCACTCGAAAAAATGAGTGTTTGAACCAACCAAAATGAGCTACTTTAGTTATCCTAACTTATCTGCTAACAAATTCAATCAACATTCCCATATACGAAAATCGCTAAAGTTTGAAAAACAATTATTCATGCATTCAGTGAAGCCCATAGACTTTTCCTGTAGTATTAATTTTCACTGGCTCTCATGCAACTCAAAATACTGAGGAAATAAAATAGACTATTTTTATGTAGAAACATACAGTTCAGTTATTGATTCCAAAGTTACACATTTTTCCCAGAATAATGATCAACAACTTGGATGTACTTCTTTGTATTGCTTTAGTCAAAACAGTTTCTAGTTAGACTAAAAAAACTGAATCACAATGAACTCGAGAAATATTTCAACTTAGTAACATCTTTTTTGCTCACTGCCAACTGACTGCAACTATTTGATATACTGGTGTCACATGAAAGTTATTACACAGGAAACATTCCACAAATTTAGTTGAAAAATATCCACGTTTGGTTCATTACCAGAGTTCAAAAATTGATGATTATGTTACGTCAATTTTCAAATGTCTGACGAAAGTTAACTTAAAGAGGAATCGTACATAGAGTAATGCATATTTACACTCAATGAAGGTACCTTAGGATTCCTTTTTCTTCTCCGAAAATATAGACATATTCAACAACGAAGATTAATTTGCAAGTTCCCGTAGACCATAGAACAATTCGATAACAGATGGTTCAAAATGTGGTACTTACTTAGTTGAATAGAAGTTATATCATAGTTGATATCCCAGATTTCTGTCATGTTTTAATGAAACATTTAAATGGGGTATATATCGAATAACTCTTAATATCTAGCTCAAAAACGGTACGCTTGTCTCTTTGCTAGGGATTAAATGGATATGTATACAATATGTGATTTCAAACTGAAGAGTAATGCAAATGAGTGTTGCATAATATTATTGAGTATAGAAAACGTGTGAGAGGACACACTGATGACATAGTATGGAACTGTAGTGTGTTTGCCAAATTGTTACATAAGACAGTAAATCTTATGTATTAGGAAAGTGTAGTGGTTTGTTTACCCGAATAAAGTAAAGTGCAGTAATAGTAACAACTACGTAAGAATACTCAAGAAAGCCACATTATTTCACAGAGGTAAAATCAAAAGATTGATAGAAGAAGTAAGAAATATGAAAAATCAGAGTTCTATGATTCTGAAAAATAAGTTTTGAAGGTAAAGTGGCCATGAAGAAAGTAGTATTTGGTGGAGAGCAGAAAGAAGCATTTCAGGAACATGATTCTTTCGAGTACACTGTGCTTTCATTAACCACCTTATAGTAACAACAATCTTGACCATTTGCATCAAACGAAACTCTATTTGGTCGACTTTCATTCCAGCTGTGGCAGGTGTAATTAAACTTAAGTTCATTACCTTGAACAAACTCATTGAATACTTTTTATCTAGTCAACTGGTGAATTCTCATTTGTCAACTGGAAAATACTAACTAACAAATTGAAACCAGTCAAAAACTCAATCAGTTATCGCTTTGCCTCACGCCAGAGAATTATTAAGACAGGATCCTTTCTTCTTTAAATATCCTTATTCTCTTCACTATTTTTCTAACATCGCTGTCATTATCATTTTCGTCTCTTTTAACTTTGAAGGATATTTTAATTCACATTGTTTTCATAAATCAGTCAAGAAAGCTAAGTTAAACGGGACTAGTAGTTTGTTATCTTAGAATTTCCAACAATATTCATATCTCTCATTTGTTTGACATAAATAAAAGAAATCTCAATAATAAAATGCATGCATCAATCATATTTACAACGGTCATTTAAGATAGTGGCATTTTTACATATAACTGACTTAGAGTAACATACAAATGGAGTTAGGATACATATAAGTATGAATGGTAGACTACACTAGGCAAACTGGCAATAGCTTAAAGCGCTTCTTTATAACTGACTGCCTACTCATATGGAAGGAGCCGTTGGGCACAATTTTGTTTTTCAGATAATGTACATTACTAATTCTTGAAAATCAATACAGTTGCCATAAACCAACACCAGACGTTTACATATCATTTAAGGCTGCCAATCTAGTACAAGGATATAAATATGATCACTAAGAAACATAATAATTTTGCTCTTCAACAAAAAGCAGCATTTATACTGGGTTTCTGGTATGTCATCTTACGTAGTGGGTTGAAATCAAAGATAACTTTTCCCATATACTGGATGAATTTTAAGAAAGTAAGAAAATTAAGTACAAAATAATCAGTTATATGGTGCATATACATGTCCACCCACTTGTTAAGCGTTATCCTAAACAACTGTCCTCGCTGCTTTCAATGTTTTCACGCAGTGAATATAAATTCCGTAACCACACTGAAAAAGCTAACAAAGACTAACCAGCTAACTTTCGGTCAGGTTCTTTGAAAACACATGATATTTTCAATATTGAGTGTGTGAAAACAGTGGTGATGCTATGTAAATCAGCATAACTAGCCAGCTATTTGAAGTCAAATCTGTTACAGATTTACGATGCTGAAGGCTCAAGACAGGATTTGTTAGCAGAGTACTCTTAGGAACTGATTGTGGTAAGCCTTTCAGTTCACTATCCTTATCCAGCCAACTTCTACTACCTTGGATTTAAACTTGAAAAACGACATACATCTACAAATTTTCTTGAATTGCTAAGCGCAGTAGAAGTATGAGCTAATTCCTATAATGTAAGGCTTTCCCACTCACTTAATTAGAAAATGTAGTTAAACAGGCAGTATGGAAAGATAGGACTCTAAATAACTGTTCATGAGATATGGCCTACAAAACCTACATAAAGTATAACTTTTACTTCACAATGTTTAACTTATACATTACTTTTTCTCTTCTAAATTATTTTTGAAAGTAACATATACATACGAAGTTGACTAACTTTATTGAATGAGTAGTGATTTTTAACATTACTCAAGGGAATAAATTTACCTAGCCAAAAAAAACTATTGTGGGAGTGAGTTAATGGAATATTGACTGTACAAACTAGTTTGGTAGAGCGCTACATTAAAATACAAATCTTCAGTAATAAAACGAAACCATTTTATAAACTTAAAAGGCATCAGTATCTTCAGTGCAAAAAACAATGACCACTGAGCGATTGTGACTTGTCAAGTATCAGAACCTTGTGCTAACCTCCAGTCCGACACAATGAATGATGACTAAAAGCGGTAATTCTAGCAGACTTTAATCAGCATTTATATATTGTACTTTAGGCAACAAGTCTAAGCGACGATAGCGAAAGCGAAGTGACTTGGAGACTTAAAATGTGACATGCGAAGAAGACTAGAAATGAGGTAAAGAGGAGCATCTTCAAGCTACAAAATATAACTTATCGAAAACACTGAATAAATGTGCCTAACAAGTTTTCAGAGTTTTTCTAGGAAGTAGTCACCCTTAGGTTACTGAAATTTTAAAGCTCAAGAAAATCGGAGTTAAAATGCACTTCTCAAAAAATCCTCCAGCATATGACAAGTGCGCACAAAACTAGGTACCCAACGGTTTAGTATGATAATAACATCTTTAGGATATTTCATATTCGCTCAATCTAGAACCTATTAAAATATAAAGAAACAGTTTTTTTCTTCACTGATGAATAGTTCTACTTAAACATCCATAAACATTTTACATAATCAAGCCATAAAATAATCATTCATCTGTATACATGAAGTATGACTGGTTCTAAAGTTTGACTTCCTAATGACAAGTCATCACTTTTTTCTGTTATATTCATTCATGAATCCAGATGTTTCTATTCATTAGTAAGTATTAGTATAATGGGTTTTTTTATATGATACCATCGTTGCTTGGACCGAATTGATCAGTTTCTATTGGCATATGGGCTCCTGTGCGGATGCCTCGATATTGCCTGCTTTCTAATTGTATTAATGATGGATTGTGGCTAGCAGTGGAACCATTATACTAAAACTATACCCAATGCACAAGAAGCAGCTATCGTGGCCCAGTGGTGTAGTAGATTACGCCCTGGTGTTTGAAGCGACCGCTCCCGAGTCCGAATCCCGGTGGGAACAACATCACTCACTTCGAAGCAGGCACATCCAGCTGACGAGTCCAAAATATGAAGAAATGCGCATCCTGGATTCCACTGCTAGCCACAATCCATCATTATTAATAAATATTGTTTCAAATGTGTTTTCCTCACTAGAAATCAACTGATAAGGCGTATAAAGTCTTATTTACACTTGTCAATCATTTGTTTATAAGATCTACAAAAACAAATAGATTTGACGAAATTTCGTATCCAATTGTAGAAAATAAACTTGCTTCTTTATGAATGCATATGTCATCTCTACTATTAAAACTAATGGCAAAGATAACAATTAAAAAATATGAGGAATCCAAGCATCCTTCTCTTCTATGTTTCGCTTCAGGGATTACAACCACATGTTATTTGCAAGCAAACAATAAGACATTGAAGTTCGATTACTCATTCTGAGGAATTGTAACCTCCTAAAATCAGCTCACTATTCAAACACAAGGAAATCAGCGTCTATTGACAAGGTTCATAAATATCATCTTGATTAAAACTACGGTAATGGAAGTAGCCAGTGACTCTATTAGTGAATAGAGGCTTACACAAAACGAGTAAAATCTACTCTTTTAAACAAATATCATTCTATACTGTCAACGGAAATGATTTTATCGTATAAATTAGTTTTAAGTAATATGAACATACCAGACCTAAAACAAAGCAATCAGGTTACAACATTGATTCTTACTGCTTTAGGTTACTTAATGAAGAGCTATTGTTTGAAAAATGAAACCGTCAAACTTGATGACAAATATTCCACAACCCACCCTCATGATTTTCTTCCTTACATGTGCCATTTTATTTCGATGCAGAAGACTTTATTGAGATGTCTATACATTGTCTTAAATCCATAATTTTTTAAGGCATTTGAGATTTCTCGTGAGAACTGAAGATAAAGTAGGAAAATAAACAGAGTTTTATGAAAATAAGGTTGCAGTTACGTAATGCAAGTTCAGTCAATGACATTAGTAGAAAAATGAATAAGGTATACACATGTAGTTACCTGATACAAAATGAATCTGTGGCCGACAGGACTTTATGATGGCTGCGGCAAAGATGAAGTTTGGACGTACCTTCTTTGCATGCATAACTCTGGTTTGAACTTCTGGATGGCTAGTGCTTCAGCTATAGACAGATGTCCTGATTTTACTCTCTTCGAGTGGTTTGATCGAACCCTGTAGAGAATTTTGAATGAGATCTTGAAAGGAGTTAAGTGACCTGAGTTCAAGAGGTGTTCTGTTATTGAACGAAAGATGCATTTCTGTTCTCCCTTTGCAAGCTAGGCTGGGTAGTGTTGGCGGATATGTTTCACAAGCGGACGCATGGTACGGCCGATGTATATTTGGCGCCGAAAAAGATTCTTTTGTTGAGTCTTTAATTCAAAAATGATATTCCTGCAGAGATCTTGAGGAAACGACTATCAAAATGCATAAACAGAACATACTTCGCCGCCAGCCTTCGGATAATTTTCTCTTGCAAGAAACTTTTCGGTCAATGTATGAAAAATAAGCTGACGCATTGGGCCGCATTAATGTGTGTATACCAATTAACTTACTCTTGTGGAGCTGAGTAAATTGGCCGCACCATGCGTCCGCTTGAAAAACGTGTCCGCCAACACTACCCAGCCTAGCTTGCAAAGAGAGAACAGAAATGCATCTTTCGTTAAATAACAGAACACCTCTTGAACTCAGGCCACTTAACTCCTTTCGAGAGCCCATTCAAAATTCTCTACAGAACTGAAAACCTGAAACTGATTGGACCATTTTAAGATTATGTTTCCTATAAATTCGTGTGTTGAATTTTATCTACTGACATACTTGATAAAAGATTACAGGTAAAAAACATTTCAAATATTTGACTTTCAGTTCAACACTTACTAGTGAAATAAATTTAAGGGTTGCACACCTGCGTCCAACTAACAGTTCAGACGTCTCATCAATTTATGTTTTGAAAATATAACTCTATTTGTAAAAATACTCCAACACCGTATTCACTGGTAGTTAGTTAGGACAAGTTACTGACCTTCAAGATAGTACGGGCTGAAACTATTTAACTCAGGATTTTCATGCAATATTGACAGGTGCACATAACTACTCACATCTACATTCTTCATCATAATCCGGTCCCATAAATCATCATATATAATAGTTATCTAGTACTTACTTCCCTTACTAAATCACCTCCTCTAAGGCTAAGTATATCGGTAGAAATATTTGATGTTACAGTTTATTCCAAACCCCCTTTCTCATGCAAACATTTTTTTTTCCGACCATCAGACATTCTTACATAATTTTGTGACTGAAAAAAAATTTCAAGAAAAT